CACACTGTAGGGATTCTATGATGATTATTTATATAGTGACTTGTGATAAGAATGTGTCCCAATGCTATTTTAGAGAACAATCGTAAAACAAAATATGGCTGCAAACCACACAAGGAGATGTTAGGTCATTTGAGCAACTGCTTGGTAAGGGAAATGGATTTTAAACAAATTTGATTGAAATTTTTTTTTTTTTTTGAAGTGGCGACCAGGTGTATAGATGAGGGTTGATGTAGTTTATATGGATTTTAGCAAAGCCTTTGACAAAGTTCCACACAGGAAACTTAACAAGAAGGCAAATGCACATGCGATACAGGGTATTTTAATAAAGTTGGATTCAAAATCGGCTCAATTGTAGGAGACAGAGAGTGATTACTGATGGCCGCTTTAGTGACTGGAACCTAGTGTCTAATGGTGTACCACAGGATCTGTTCTTTGTCCCCCATTATTCGTTATTTATATAAACAAACCGAGAAGTTGGGATGTCATGCTGTGGCTGTACAGGACATCGGTGAGGCCACTTTTGGAATACTGTGTGCAATTCTGGTCTCCCTGCTATAGGAAGGATGTTGTGAAACTTGAAAGGGTTCAGAAAAGATTTATGAAAATGTTGCCAGCGTTGGAGGGTTTGAGCTATTGGGAGAGGCTGAATAGGCTGGGGCTATTTCCCCTGGAGCGTCAGGCTGAGGGGTGACCTTAGAGGCTTATAAAATCATGAGGGCACATCTAAGGTAATTAGACAAGGTCTTTTCCCTGTGGTGGGGGAGTCCAAAACTGGAGGGCATATGTTTAAAATGAGAGAGGAAAGATTTAAAAGGGACCTAAGGGGCAACATTTTCATGCAGAGGGTGGTGTATGTATGGAATGAGCTGCCAGAAGAAGTGGTGGGGGCTGGTACAATTACAACATTTTAAAGGCATCTGGATGGGTATATGAATAGGAAGGGTTTAGAGGGATATGGACCAAATGCTGGCAAATGGGACTAGATTAATTTAGGATATCTGGTTGACATGGATGAATTGGACTGAAGGATCTGTTTCTATGCTGTACATCTCTATGACTGTATGAGGAGTTGTGTTAGTAAGTTTATGGATGACACAAAAATTGATTCGGTGGTTTCCAGTGAGATTGTGTCTTGGGCTGCGAGAAGATATAAACAGGAAGGTCAAATGGGCAGATGAGTGGCAGATGGAATTTAACCCTGAAAAGTGAGAGGTGATGCACTTTGGAAGGAGTAATTGGATACTTCCTTGTCAAATGAACAGCATGACATTGTGAAGTTCTGTGGAACAAAGGGACCTTGGAGAGTGTTAGGAGGATGGTGAAAAAGGCACGTAGGGCACTTGCTGTTATCAGTTGAGGCCTAGTTACAAAAACAAGGCAGTCATGTTTGAGTTGTATAGAACTTGAGACCACAACTTGAGTTTGATGTGCAGTTCTGGTTGCCACGTTACAGAAAGGATGTGCTTGCACAGGGAGGGGCTGCAGAGGAGATTCACCAGGATACTGGCTGGGATAGAAATTTAAGTTCTGAAGAAAGGTTGGATAGGTTTGGGTTATTTTTGTTGGAGCAGAGAAGACTGAGGGCAATTTGATTGAGGTGTACAAGATTGAGGGGCATTGGCAGTGTGGATGTGTAGCAACTGTTTCCCTTAGTCAAAGGGTCAGTCACAGGGGGACACAAGTTAGGGCGAAGGGCAAGGTCGTTTACTTTTTTGGAATTGATTTATTATTGTCATGTGTACCTAGGTGCAGTGAAAAGCTTTGTTTTGCATGCAGTACAGGCAGATCATACCATACGAAGTGGATAAGGGTAATAATACAGAACGAGGTATGCAATGACATGGCTTCAGAAGCCTAATAACAGGGAATAAGCTGTCCTTGAATCCGATGGTAAGTATGTTTAAGCTTTTGTATCTTCTGCCTGACAGAAGAGGTTGGAAGAGATTATAACCAGCATTGGAGGGTTCTTTGATTATGTTGGCTGCTTTCCTGAGGCAGAGAGAAATATAGATGGAATCAGTGGATGGAAGGTGGCTTGCGTGACAGACTGCTTTGTGTTTACAATTCTGTACTTTCTTATGGTTCTGGGCAGAGCAGTTGATGTTCCAAGCTGTGATGCATCCAGATAGAATGCTTTCTATGGTGCATCTATAAAAATTGCTAAGTGTCTTTACGGACATGCAGAATTTCCTTAGCTTCCTGAAGAAGTAGAGGTGTAGTTGTGCTTTCTGGGTTTATGGGGTTGGGGGTGCGGTGGTGTGGAAGGAAACCTTTTTTACACAAAGGGTGGTGACAGTCTGGAATGTGCTGTCTGGGAGGGTGGTGGAGGCGAATTATTTCATATCTTTTTAAAAAGTAGCTTTTTAAGCACTTGGTATATCATTCGGTATATTTGAGGCTATGGGCCAAGTGCTGTAAATGGGATTCGGTTGAAGATCAAGTGTTTCTCGCATGTCAGTGCAGACTCGATGGGCTGAAGGACTTCTGCACTGTATGATTCTATGAAAAGTCTGGAGGGGGAAGAAAGGGAGAGAGGCAGAGTGTAGAGAGGGTATTCCAGAAGTCTGAGCTGAAGCAACTGTTTGTGTGACTGCCAGTTGCAGCACAATTTGAACTCTGGGATGCTGAAGAGCCAGAATTAGAGAAGTGCAGGCATATTGGAGGACTTTTTGTTTTTAAAAAGACATGCATTTATATAAAAACCGAAAGAACTGCGGATGCTGTAAATGCATGAACAAAAACAAAGTTGCTGGAAAAGCTCAGCAGGTCTGGCACATCTGTGAAGGAACAAACAGAGTTAACGTTTGGGGTCCGGTGACCCTTCCTCAGACCCAAAACATTAACTCTGTTTTTTTCTTTCACAGATGCTGCCAGACCTGCTGAGCTTTTCCAGCAACTTTATTTTTGTTCATGCATTTATATAGTTACTTTCAAAACTTACTGTATGAGTCAAAGTACTTTACGTTTTGTGAGTAAAGTGAGTACTTCTAACTCACAAGACGATGGTTTCTGCCACGATGGTAACTGTGCTAAACATCACTTGGTACCACTCAAACTCCACTTGCAGGGCACTTCCCACCCAGAGGAATACAGTGGGCTGGGAAAAAACATGATTTGATGTCCTTTGTTTTCTCTAAGTCACTTTTCAGCCTTCTCTTTCTTTTGTTTCTGCTCTACTGTTCTGACGCCTTTTCAAACAGTCAGCCTCCAGAGGTTATGACCATAAACTACACTTTCCCAGTTGTCAGTGTCATTGTCTGCTACTTGCAAGTGAGATATGAAGATATCCTTGGAGTGGAGGAATAGACCCCAAAGAGGTTGTAACCCATTGACTAGATCTTTTGAAGATCTTTGTATATATTGCTGTCACCCGTTTAATTAATGTGAGCAGATTTTTGCAGGTGCCAGTGGCTTAGCAATGAGTCTAAGTTGATAGAATTAACATGCTGAAAGATTTCTGGTTTGGTGAGCTTTCTCTTGAAAGTGATGCTGAGGATACGTCCAAGACAGCAAAGGTAGAAACTAGAGACAGTGGAAGGGTGGTGATGCGGGAATCACCAGATGAAATGAGGTTGTAACCGTAGTAGACACAGTTGGCTGATGTTACATAGTAGGTTTGTGGTCCAGGGGAAATGGGAGGAGGTATCAGAGAGCTGGCCTCTGCAATGTAGAGATCAGTCCACCAGACAACAACAGCATCACCCTTATCAGCAGGCATAATTACAAAGTCAGGGTTGGATCTGAGAGCATGGATTGTGGTCAGTTCCCAGGAGGATAGGTTGGAATGGATCGGGGGTAGGGATAGTGAAATTGAGGCGACCTATGTCCCATCAGCAGTTTTCAATGAACAGGTTGAGTGCAAGTAAAAGGCCAGAGGAAGGGGTCCAAGTGGAAGGAGAGTGTTGGAAGTGGACAGAGGGGTCTCTGGAATGGTGAGAGGACTCTTGCCCAAAGAAATGGGCATGGAGGCAAAGGCGATGGAAGAAGAGTTCAATGTCATGTGCCCGAAATTCATTAACGTGGGGACACAGGGATAAAACTGAAACCTTTGCTGAGTACAAAACATTTGGCATCAGAGAGCGGAAGGTCAGGAGTGTTGGTGAATACACGACAGGAGGTGGGGTTCAGGGAGGGGATGGAATCAGAGGGAAAGGGAGGGGAGGGGAGGTACGTTCTGGAGGACCTTGGGTATCTCTAAGTTATTGCATCTTGTGTGCCTTGATGTTTGGAAGGAAAAGTAAAAAATTCTTGTTAGTATGTCGATTGAACCAGAGGATGAGGTGGAACTGGGGAGTGGCGCAGGCCTGAGTCAGCATGATGTGATGCAGTTGGAGAGAGAGGTTGTTGCATATGACGACGAGTGGTACTGAGTGTGGATCTCAGGAAGTGGCGAGAGCAGCTGTCTGTGGAACATTGAACATCGCGAAGATACTTATGATCCTGAGTGGATTCAAAGCACAAAGGATGAAACTTGAGTTAGAATCCACGTGGGATAAATTTGAGCCAGAGGCAGTCACTGAGGAATGTGATGTGGCTGTGGAAATTAGTTTTAGCAAAAACCTGGTCAAACACCAGGAGTGAAATTAAAGGTGATGGGTAAGAAAAAAGAAAAATGTGACCCCCAAGATGGAACATCACGCAGTTGTGTCAACTATGGTCACCAACCTCATTTCATCTGAACTTTCTCCGAAGGTAGAAACTGCTTGGTCTTTTTCTTCCCTGTGTGATGAAGGTTTATAATATTATTACTTGAAAAGTTTGAATTTAAGTTGAGGTAAATGATTCTTTGCAGTTATGTCTGTGGACGTCTCTTTTTTTGGAAAAAGATCAGAATGTCACTTTAAATATTTTAATACGTTTTATGCTCAGTATGTATTACTTTCTCTCATTTTGTACTTGTACGAGTTTGTTTCCAGGTGGCAGTGGGTGCAAGTTGTGGCAAAGGGAATTATTTCAAAAACAATATAGTTGACTATGAAATATTTATCTTTTCTATACAGCAAATGATGTCCATACGTCTGTGCTGCAATCGGAGTCTCTAGACAACTATGTTAAATCTGTTCACTGTGGAGAATCAGAGATGGAAATCATTGTTAGCAAAGATGGGAAGGTAACTGTCAAGTATACCATCTTCCAATAAGTAGGTATTAGATTGGACTCAATAAGTACAGAGGCGGTGGGATTTTGTTTTGGAGGTTGCAGTTGGGCGCTTGTTTGGCACATGTACTTTGCCAGCTGTGGGAAGACAGAGGGCAGATTATTGGCTGACTTCAAAACTGGCTTGGGTCTAAAGCAAGCCATGTAATTCAGCTCCTTTTGGACCATAAAATTTCAAGAAATACCATGGGACTTTTCTTTAATAGCTACCAGAGTCCCTTTTAAGGGTCACTGTTCATCTGTATGTTGCCTGATACAAATGTGTGGGCTTTTTAATTCCCACATACTGTCAACTTGTTCCTGCATATTGCAGTAAAATTAAAATTAATTTTTATGTTGTGTAGGACCCTGAATTGAATAAATAAGCAGGCTGCTCAACCATTTACAGATTTCTCAGAAAATTGCATCATTTAGTTACATAAGATATTTAATTTTATCCCCACTCTAAATAATTAGTTTTAATTAGCATAATTTTTATTAATTATTCAAACGTAATATTCCAAAAAACTAAATTTATCTAGCTTTCAGCTCAACTATATTTCTCTCAAAAACTAAATACTGCACATCTGAAGTAACAACAGAAAATTTTGCCAGTTGTTGGCATCCACTGGACAATGAAACAGTGGAATTTAATGCCCTTCATCAAGGAGAATTTGATAGAAGGAGGGCTTTTAATTAGGTAGGAGGTTGACAGGTGGGCACCTTGCTGCCTTCCCATCACCCAGCAAAATTAACATTGGGTAGGGATGCACTTGGATGGCCGTCGTCTGATCCTTCCCAACTTGTTATCAGTTGAGGCCCATAAGTCAGTAATTAACAGAACATTGGGATGACCTGTTTGTTGTCACATGGGAAACCTAAGTAGAAAATCATGGCAAATTGCTTTCAGCCGCTTGGAGCACTTCACCTCTTTGGTACCGATGAGTATTGAGAGACTCTACCTGTTGGAGGATGGGACTTCTTCCCTAGAGTTTCTTGATTCCTGGGGAAGACCTGCCACTATTCAGTTAAGGATCCATTTAATTCGCCATGTTGCGGGACTCTTGCCAGTTCTGCTGACACATAAAATTAAAACTGCCATAGAGTTAGCATTTCAAGTTGACCTTTCATTAGATCTGGAGAAGGATAGAGATGTAACGAGTTTTAAATAGACACAAAGGCAAGAGGGAAAATAAGGAAAGAACAAAAATGGCAAACAAAAAAAAGTGAAAGAAAATGGTAGTGGGAAATGTAAATGAAGTATCAAAATAATTGCCATCAACCACAGTCCAAAGCAACAGATGCTGTGGTTCTGAGCTGAAATTGTTGATCTGGGAACTGAACTTATTGATCTCGGTCAAAGAGTGTAAAGCCCCTAACTGTAATATGAGATAATATTCCTCAAGCCTGCATTGAGCTTTTATCATGACGATAGTGTGTGTACAGTGAAAGTGGAGTGCCATTAAAATGGCAAATGGAAGGTCAGAATATGTTTACTGACAGGAGGTGTTAGCTAAGTAATTTTTCGAATGCTGAGGGGGAAAAGGGAAGATGTATTTGGTGGTATGATACTGGAAATGGTAGAAATTGTAGAGGATAATTTTTGTTGAATCCAGTAGCTCATAGGTGGATGGTGAATTTGTGGGCAGGATCCTATTGAGAGTGACTAGAAAGGTGCAGCAAATGGGACAGACACAGCTGAGTACAGTGATGGGGAATCCTCAAGGAAAACGTGTTTCTCATTGCTACCATGTAGTTGCATTAGTTTTTATCGATCCTGGGTTTGTGTATTAAAATTTGAGTGTTTTTTATTTTCCATTTACTTCCACTCTTTACAGAAGCCAATTCAGGAAATAACACTACTGGATGATAATTGCAAAGGAAACAGTAATGAAACACATTTCTACTTGAAGTACATCCCTTACACAGAATGTAACACTACTGAAAGCGGAGGCAACTACATAAACAAGGTACAACTTATCTCTTGAGAGAAAGAGAATTGCAAAATAGATGGGCAGCATGGTGGCTCAGCAGTTAGTGCTGCTGCCTCCACCAGGAACCTGCATTTGATTTCAGCCTCGGGCAATTGTCTGTGTGGAGTTTGCACATTCTCTCCCCATGTTTGTGTGGGTTTCCTTCCAGTGCTGTGGTTTTCTCCCACAGTCCAAAGGTGTGCAGGTTAAGTGGATTGGCTGTGCAAAATTGCCCATAGTGTCCAGGAATGCATAGGTAGGTGGGTTAGCTTTAGGAAATGTGGGGTTACGTGCATAGGGTAGGAGTGTGGTTCTGGGTCGGATGGCCCTTCAGCAGGTTGGTGTGGACTTGATGGGCTGAGTGGCCTGTTTCCACACTGTATGGATTCTATCTTTAAAAATGTAAAGAGAATATATGTCAAATTCATCCAGGTCTATGGCTTGTTTTTCACTTAAACCAATCTGTGTGTAATCAACTTAGAAAATCAACTCTAACCAAACATTCCTTTCTATACAGCTAAAGGTGAAGTTGTACAATGGAACTGAAATCGTACATGATGTAAGTAATCTTTCCAATGCATGTACCTGATGCAAACAAGTTTTGTTGTACATAACCAGTCTAGAAATTTGAAACGTATCTAAAAATCCTTTCCAGAGTACAAGCATAATACGTGATTCATAATCCATGGTAGATCATGAAGTGGAATAAAATGCTAGTTTCATTAATAATGATTGTGAAACTACTGAATTGTCATAAAAACCCATCTGGCTCACTAATGTATTTCAGGAAAGGAAGACTATTATCTTTATCGTCTGGCCTATGTGTTACACCAAACCCAAAGCAGCGTGGTTAACTCTTAACTGGTCTCTGGAATGCCCTTAGAAAATACTTAGTCATATCAAATAAAGTACACTAAATTGCATTGTGGATGCACCTACAGTCTACCACACAGACATGAATAGTTCAAGAAAATGGCTCACTACAATTCAGGAACAATTGGGATATATGTGCAGTAAAAGTTATCCTTGACAATGAGGTTTACATCCCGTATTTAAATAATAATTTAAAAAATGATTGAAGTCTGCTGCTATTACCATCAATGGTACAATAACGACTAACAGAATCATGATCTGCACAGCTTAACATTCCTCTGCCATCCATTTTAGAAAAAAAAGTATGATTGATTTTGCTGCAGTGAATGCATGATTTTGTATTGTGTGCTGGTTGCTTGACCAGAGATTATATTTAGGTCAGCAAGTCAGTTAAACAATGAGAACAGTCATTACTGGAATGCTTCTTGGATGTGAGGAATGTCAGATCAGCCATGATCCTATTGAATGGTGGAGCAGAATCAAGGGGCTGAACAGCCTACTCCTGTTCCTATTCCTTATAGTCGTACTCCTTTTGTAAGGTTCTACAATTATTGCAAACATCCATTCAACGTGTCTAGGATGCTAATGATGAGAGCTAACAAGGAAGACTGCTCCTTTTGAAGTCACTATTTGAAGAATTGCTCCATTCCTAGCTGAAAAGGTTCCCCTATCTGGAGCAGGCCTCACTTCCTGAAAATATATGGTCAGTGCTACTTATTTATAGTTTTCTAGCAATAATGGATGTGTGAATTAATCCTGAAAGCACTAATGGAAATGCAGAATGCATTATAAAATACGGTATTTTACAATTAAGCGTGACCTGCAAGACAAGAGATTTGCTTAATAAGTAACTATTATCTGACAAGTTTCTATGCAAAGTGGCTTTCTGGTTTTTGATTTTCTTGGGTTGGATTTTTAGCCTGTGCTGGAATGAAGGATAGAGATAGGCAAGTACTGAAAATGGCACCTCCAGCAAATGTTAGTTCGCTAAGCTCCATATGGGGTATGGCAAGACTATCTGTCCACAACTGGCTCGTAACTGCTTAATTAACAGCTACTTAAGACCCATGAAAGGAGGTTGACAAGTGTGGAAGCAGCAAATCAAGGCACCAGTGCAGTGGAGGTTTAGCTATAGAGCATCCACAGGCCACCTTGTAAAATCAGTTTCCTGATCACTATTGTCATTTGGCTGTAAAGAGCATTGTTATTCTACATTTATAAAATTCTTGCGAGAACGCGACTCCTTTTTGAAGCACCCTTTCCTCAATTATGTACCATGGCTTTCTCCTACTGTTTTCAAGCTAGATTAATCTGATTGGCCATCCAGCTTCAGGAACCCACCTGCTGTCCTGAATTGAACAGCACCTGTTAACTGCTAATTGGCAGGTCTACCAGCATCTGTGAAGGAAAAAAAGAGTTAACGTTTCAGGTCTGGTGACCCTTCCTCAGAAAGGAAGGGTCACTGGACCCAAAACATTAACTCGGTTTTTTCCTTCACGGATGCTGCCAAACCTGCTGAGCTTTTCCAGCAGCTTTGTTTTTGTTCCTGATTTACAGCAACCGCAGTTCTTTTGGTTTTTAAACTGCTAATTGGCCACTGATTTTTAAAAAAACTTACATTGAATAACTGTTTTCACACTACTCTTTTTTTGTGTTCAGTGGCAGGTTTGGAAGCCCGCAGGGAAAATCTAACCAGAAGACTTTTAGCATTTTGAATGTTACAATACCGCTTAAGCCGTTTGATTGATTTATTGTCACGTTTTCCGAAGTATGATGAAAAGCTTTGTTTACAAGCAGTACAGGCAGGTCATAGTAAGCAAGGATGTGCAGATCAGAGGTTGTAAAAAGACTTAGACAGAAACCTACAGGTTGCACTGCACAGGGCATGCGCTGGGCAGGATCAACGTTAGCAAGATCAGCATTATTTGAAACTAGAGAGTCTATTGATCAGTCGAGTAGCAGCTGGGAAGAAGCTGTTCCTGAATCTACTGGTGTGTGTTCAGGTTTCTGTATCTTCTCCCTGAAGGAAGAGGTTGTAGGAGATCATTGCGGGGTGCAATGGGTCTCTGATTTTGGCAGCCTTCCACGACAGTGAGCTGTGTGAATGGAGCCTGTGGATGGAAGATTGGCTTCTGTGATGGTCTGGTCTGGTCTGGTCTGTGTACACCACCTTCTGTACTTTTTTTAGGGTCCTGGGAAGACTAGTTGCCATAGGGTCCATTATGCACCTAGATAGTATGCTTTCAGTAGTGCATCTGTAGAAGTTGGTGAGGGTCTTTACGGACATGCCAGATTTCCTGAGGAACAAGAGGCATTGTTGTGCCTTCTTGACTGTCACATCTACGTGGGAAGTCCAGGACAGGTTGTCCATTATCGTCACTCTTAAGAACTTGATGCTCTCCACCCTCTCAACCTCAGTTCCATTGATATAGGCATGGTGTTCTCCTTTTTTTTTGAAGTCAATGACCAGTTCTGTAGTTTTTCCAACGTTGAGAGAGAGGTTGCTATGATCTATTAATCCAGTCTCTTCACTAATTCATCAAAGGCATGGGATCAAACTGCATTCCAGTGATTTGATTACATAATGTAACGAGACACTTCAATGTAGAATGGTTCATGTGTTGAGCAACCAGTATGCTACGTTTCAGAGTGCTGTCTTTTGAATGAAATTTTAAACTGAGATCCTTCCTGCTTTCAAAGAACAAAGAAAATTACAGTACAGGAACAGGCCCTTCGGCACTCCAAGCCTGCACCAACATGCTGCCCGTCACAACTAAAACCCCCTACCCTTCTGGGGACCGTATCCCTCTGTTCCCATCCTATTCATATATTTGTCAAGATGCTCTTTAAAAGTCACTATTGTATCTGCTTCCACTACCTCCCCCGGGAGCGAGTTCCAGGCATCCACCGCCCTCTGTGTAAAAAAAATTTGCCTCTTACATCACCTTTAAACTTTGCCCCTCGCACCTTAAACCTATGGCCCCTGGTAACTGACTCTTCCACCCCAGGAAAAAGCTTCTGACTGTCCAGTCTGTCCATGCCCTTCATAATCTTGTAGACCTCTATCAGTTCCCCCCTTAACCTCGGTCATTCCAGTGAGACAACCCAAGTTTCTCCAATATCTCCTCATAGCTAATGCCCTCCATACCAGGCAACATCCTGGTAAATCTTTCCTGTACCCTCTCCAAAGCCGCCACATCCTTCAGGTAGTGTGACGACCAGAATTGAATACAATAAACCAAATGCGGCCTAACTAAGGTTCTATAAAGCTGCAACATTACCTGCCAATTTTTAAACTCGCTGCCCAGCCGATGAAGGCAAGCATGCCATATGCCTTGTTGACTACCTTTTCCATCTGCGTAGCCACTTTTTCAATGACCTGTACACCCAGATCCCTTTCAGAGAGGAACATAAAAATGATCCCATATCCAAAGGTACGTTTGACGGGGATCAGGGAATTTTGTTACCCAATGTGAATCTATTAGATAACACCCCTAACTAGTAGGTTGCCTGTGTTGTTGTAGGGGCTTGCTTTGTCAAGTTAAGTGCAGCATTTGTATACATTATGTGTAGACTACACATGGAGGATAAATAATTAGCTCACTGCAGAACACAATGGGATATCTTGAAGTCATGAAAAGTGCTTTCTTCTTAATTTATTGCCTGCTCGTGTGTTCATTCATAATCCTGTTTCCAATTAAAATTCTCTTTAATAAGTAAGAAGATATTGTGATTTCTGGTTTTATTTTCTCATTTTTCCTTAATCAGGTGCATTGCCCACGAGTACAAGAAGTTTGTGATCTTGTTACACATAACATGATTGGCGATGAATCATATATCAGAATTTTTGGGCATTGTGACTTTAAAAAGCCATTCTCAAGGATTTACAACAACACAAATGTCAACGGAGAGGTACAATAATAGTTTATTTCAATTTTAAATTAGTTTAATGCTTATATGTTTGGCCTGTAATTGGCTATTATCCTTATCTTTCTCTTGCTCTTAGTTAAGAACATAAATAGGAGCAGGAGTATACTGTGTGTAACCCCTCAAATCAGCTCTACTGCTTAATAACCTCTTGATATTTCAAAAATCTATTGATCGCCTCTTTAAACCCTTTATGTTCCTAGCTCCACAACTCTCTGGCTTAGAGAATTTTGGACAATCACTACCCTCTGACTGGATAAATTCCTTTGTATCCTCAGTTTTAAATGAATGTCTCCTCAATCTTTAACTATATTCTCATTTCCCCCACTTGTGGAAACATCTCAACCTGTACCCTGTCAAGCCTCCTAAGAGTCTTGTATGTTTCAAGATGGTCACCCTTTATTCTTCTAAACTGTGATGCATAAAACTCTAACTTGTTTAACCATTTGTGATAAGTCAACAGCTTCATTCCAGGAGTCAGCTTTGTGAATCTCTTTTTAAAGTACCTGTAATGGCAGGACATCCTTTAAGCACAGGGACTACAATTGTACATAGTACTCCAGGTGCAACTTCACCAACATCTTGTGCCGTTGTAACAAGACTTGCCTATTTTTAAGCTTGAAACTCCTCGCAGTAAATGTCAAAATTCCATTTGCTGCTTTGATTACTTTCTGCACCTGCGTTCTGACTTTGTGCTTCATGTACAAGAACACCCAGGCTCCTCTGCACTGCATTTGTTGGAATGTGTGTCCATTTAAATACTAGGCTGTCTTTTGATCCTTTCTACCAAAGTGCATGGCCTACATTTGCCTGCTTTAAAATCCATATGGAAACATTTGCCCACTCACTCAACTATCCATATCCTCTTGCAGATTTCTTGTGTCCTCATTGCAACATACCCTCCTCTTATTTGGTATCATCAGCAAATTTGGATACATTTCACTCTGCCCTCTCCTCTAAGTTATTAATATAAATTGTAAATAATTGAAGTCCAAGAACTGATCCCTGTGTCACTCCACTAGTTATGTCTTTCCAATCTAAAAAAGATACATTCATTCCAACTGTCTTCCATATTTTGTCCATACCTCAATTCAGCTTAGCAGCTTTGGCAGCATCTGTGGGGAGAAACCAGACTTAACATTTTGGGTCAGGTGACCCTTCCTCAGCACCTCTGCTGTCTCTTTTTTTAAAATTTCTTTTTTTTTAAAAACTTCCCTTCATTGAACCTTCATTGAAACTTCCTTTCCACTCATCAGTTTAAAACACTTTCAGCAACCCTAGTTATGTGATTCAGCAGGACACTGGTCTTGTCATAGTTTAAGTGAAGCCCTTCCCAATGGACCAATGCTGTCTTTCCCCAATCTGTTTTCCTGTGATATTACAGTTTGGCCCTTAAAGGTAGAAACAGGTAGGAGGGACTTTCTGTCACCGGGTTTTATCTCCTTCCACTGGAACCCTTCTGGCATGAAGCCTACTTTTTTCTTTATGCTGGTGTCGTCCCTGTACTTGTTTGAGAAGCTGCTGTCCTCTCTCACTCCTTAAGGTGCTAGTAACCATCCAGGTTCTCCTCCCTTCCACTTAGGTACTGATCATTATGTCCACACCCTCCACCTGCTTTTTAATTTGTGATCGCAATCATCTACTGAAATCTTCACAAAACACATGCAGTTGATGCATGTAAATTGATTTGACACAGTTAATTTATTGGTCAGGAAGTCAGAGTCTGTGTAACGTCTACAAATCATAAACTTTGCTCAAAGTTAAACTGTGATTCCTTTTTGGAATCCTTGCTGACTACTCTTCATTATATATTCTGTTTCCAGATGTTTTCTGTTTCACCTTTTCAGGAAGAATGCAATTATCTTTCCTGCCACCACTTTAATTCTTAATGTTCTCTGGATATGTCCTAACTGTTTTTAAATAAAAGAATCGCATTAGATTTCCACAGGTTCTTGGTTATTGTTCACTTTTTTAATAACTTTTTATCCATATGTGATAATATCTGTGCTACCCCTTGACTAATTTTTAATGTGTGCAGATCTAACCTATCTGGTCAAGGGCTTTTATCCTACACCAACTAGTTTTATCAATGATCTTTTCACACACTGCACACACACCCTTTCTAAGTGTATCTTGTTTGATCTTATTTTTGATGTCACGTTGCTTTAAACAAGCAGTCAAAGAACTAGGTTTAATGACTCTCATACAATTTTTTTTTGTATCTATTAATATTAAAGTAATACACTAGATAGCCATCCTCTTTGCTTGCCTGGCACTTAAAATCCTCCTGACTTTTTAGAATTGTGTGCCTTTTTTCTAGATTATCAATTACATGATACACAATACTATGTCTTGCATATGAACTGAATGTTCCTGGTTTGCTCTGTTCTCTCAACGAACCATGAAATCTTATCTAATCCATACTTGAGCTGGCTAATCTTACAATAGTTAGGTTTAGATGATTAATGGGCGATTCAGCAGCATTGGCAAAAATACCTTTTGATCTGGGAATCAGTTGTGGATTGTTTGTAATGTGTGATCAACAAGAAAACATTGAAAGTAAATGTATCTATTCCCATATATATTGTTAAAGGCAAGGAAAAAATAACCTCATTTAATGCATGATCAGTGAGACTGAAGTAAGTTATTCGCCCAAAGTACATTATAGGCTTAACTTGTTCTCAATTTAATTGTATGCACATATAACAAGAGATTTGTAATAAAATATAATTATTGTAATATGAATGAAGAACATATTAAGAGCATTAATGAGAAATGAAATCATACTTATTTGATTAAATTAGTCATACAAACAAAATTCAAAGTTTGAAATTCAAGCACAACCTTAAATTTCAAAGCAAGATGCAAACAATCAGATGATGCTGAACTGATTATGAGAATTTTATTCAGCTTTTTATGGCTCTATTGTTTGGATTCACAGTTATTTTTTCCTTAGATATTCAACTTCATTCAATCCTCCTCCAACTAAAGAACCCACTATAACTGCCAGTACCTATTGCTTGTTACTCCTTTTGCTGTGTATTACAGGGTTTAATTGATCTACAAGTGTAACACAGGATGAGTTAATTGGCAGCCATTTTATCATTGCACCTAAACATTCCACTGAAATTCACAGAATGATAATTCAGATTGTTTTTGGAGATTCACATCCAAGTCTCATGGTGATTTTAGTTTTTTTGACATTAAAAGCATTGGCTTTTCATTTGTGCAATGAACAATAAATTGGCTGCTGATTCTCTATAATCACCTTTTGAACTGCTAGCGTAAACCACTTTGACACTGAGGATTAAGCTGGTATCAGTGTGGAAAGAGTGTAGGATTGTTTGTCACATATCCACTGGGAACTGATGAATTTGATCATATTGACATTGTCTCAGCACACCATTATTCACTTGTATTCTGTCCAAACTTTTCTTCCTGTGCATTTGCTTTCAAAGTTAGTATTTGCAGAGACCGAAATATTAACTTTATCAAAATGATTAATAAAATAGTAATAGGAACTGATTTTTTTAACCTAAACCTATGGAAATGTACTGCAATATGATGTCCTGTTTTAATGGTGAAGCTGTCTTATACATACATGTATGTTAGTATTGCATAACTTTGAAAATTCATATTTTTGTAGATTTTACTCCCTTCACTTGGACAAAATCAGAATGCATTTGGAATTGACATGAAGCTTCAAAACTGTTCTCTCATCCCAAGATTTGCAGTCAATTCAGTCAATAAAAGTGTCCTTCTTCCCAAAATCTCCGTGACTGTTATACATGCAAAATCACACAAAACCAAGTGTACTAATGAAGTCATAAACCACTACCCATTCTGGTTTCTTTTCCATAATTCATGGAGCCCAGTTGTTGAGGAAGCAGTCTTGGAATGTTCTGAAGCAGCATGTACTTCTGGGGTAAGTCAGTATTGTGCAGTGCAACAATATTATTAGTTTACTCAAGTATTTTAACAATATCAACTCTTTACCATCTAAAATCTCACTGCTGATTTTGCTATATCTTTAAATTTTTACTCATGATGTCATACTTTTTAAATTATGTAATGTAATATTTATAAAATTGGTTAAGGGAAAGCTTGGCATAAGAGTTTTCAAAAATAGGAACGTAACAAAATTAGAAATTGTTGGGAAAAACTCAGCAGGGCAGGCAGCATTTGTGGAGAGAAAGCAGAGTTAATGTTTCATGTCCAGTGACCCTTTTTCAGAATGGTTCTGAAACATTAACTCTGCTTTCTCTCCACAGATGCTGCCTGATCTGATTAGTTTTTTTCAGCAACTTCTGATTTTGGTTCTGATTTCCAGCATCTGCAGTTCTTTGGGATTTTTTTTAATTTAGGAATAGGAATGTATTTGGAAAACAAAGTGAAAACATCTGGGGAAATGATGTCAATATTTTTGCTTTGTGACTATTTCTTTCGGCATCTATGTATAAAAGAAATGAACATTCATTTGAAGCAGAACAGTGTTATGTCAAATGTAGTTACTTACTTATTGTTGTCAATTGTATGAAAAGAATAATAAACTTGTATATTTGAGCAGTTAGGAAATTTGAATGCAGGAACTAGTACTACTGGTGCATGTAAAATGAACCCCGAGATCTTGTTTATTCCTCGGGTTAAAAGCTTCTCAGTCTATAAGCATGCATCACTCACACTGAATTCATCCAAATAATACTTGTTCTGTTATTCCTAGTCTTGCTTTGATATGAGAAGGATAAATAAAACGTTGAAAATTGACAACCATAGCCCTCCGCATCCTAGTAAGTTCAGTTTTCTGTTGAAGCACAAAATTTTTGTTTGTGGAAGTGTTGCTATTAAACTGTTTAATTTCTACATGTGCTTTCATTATGCTTTTCATTTTTACTTTGAACATTATTACTTGTTTGAAATGGTGTAACAAAAGGTAAAGAAGTGAAGACAAATGAATAGGAATGAGAATGAAGGCATAAAAGGACAATAATCCTTTTAATCCTGTTGAGTCTGTTGAAAAGATCTATTTCCTTAGATGAGTTTAGAACAGATTTTATTGTATTTATAAAACAAAACTGAACAGTCAAAGGACATACGGTGTAGAAATTAGAAATACAACATTTGCAATAAGGCTGGGGCATGGGCTTCTGAAACTGGTGTTAAGACACACTGCACGTAGATTTATTTTCTGCATTATATTACATCTTTGATAGGACAAATGCATTGGTAATCAAGCTCAACCACTCTAAGTTGTGCCAAAATTATATCACCATTATATCACCATTATTTCTATTATATCACTAAACTAGTCAATTTGTTTCTTTTTAATTACTGTAATATAGGACGAAAGAGACTTTTCCCAGATTTCTTATAAATTCAAAAATAACTCGTTTAAAGAATGTGTTTTAATAAACAAATCTGATCAGGAACGAAGCTACTATTCAGAATTAAACTATATCCTCTTAATCCCGAGCATACACATTTATACGTGACAAAATACAATACAGCTCTGCAATGATTAGTTGGATTCCTAGATGAGACACATTTGCAATTAGCAAACACTGCTCTTTAGAAGTGTCTTTCAAACGTCTGAATCATAGTAGGAGATAGCATGTGAATGTGCCAAAGTGGTATCTGATTAGAACATAATCAGGAGTGTAAAAAATTGTCAGATTAAATATTTCATTCATCAAAAGAGAATGGATCTAACCACCATCTTTGCATAGTTGACAGTCCACTTACATCAAATTGGCTCAACAGCAACTTTGTATAATGCCTCACAGGGCGTTATAAAATAATTTGCATGGCTCAAGCAATGTAAAGAGATGTTGAGAGAGAAGATGAAATGTTTGGTTGAAGAGGTAGATTTGAAGAAGTGTCATAAAGGAGGAATGTGACATAGGCATAAAGACAGAGGCAGGGAATTCCAGAGCTTCAGACTTGGGTAAATGAAGACATGGCCACCAACAGTAGAGCAGTATTAATTAGGAATGCACAAGAGGCCAGAATTAAAAGAGGACAGTCCTCTCAGAGGATTGAGAGGTGGGAAGGGCAAGGGCGTGGGGACTGAAGGTAAGTATGAGAATTTTAAAATCACAATATTGCTTGACTCGCAGCTATTGTATTTCTACATTGATTCCAGACCGGGCAATGTACATTTTAAGGCATTTAAACAAAATCAGTGGAAAGTTACACCATGCCTTTACCAATTGCTTGCCATTATGGTAGTGATAGGAATACTAGTTGTCTACTTAAAGTTTCTGTGTCTTTATGAAGACAGCAAGCACAGAATCAAGACTGTATAGTCTGACATATTGTAGCAATCTACATAGTTAGTGCTGCTAATAAACTCCAAGACATCTATCTCAGCGAGGATCTGATCTTCATAATGTATGATTTTAAGGACTAATATGTAAGGAACACTCGAGCCATATTACAGTAATAATAGTGTTTTACTCATGAATCCACATCGGGAGCCAATATGGGTCAGCCAGCACAGGGCTTGTAGGAAACAGAATTTGTTGCCAGTGAAGACGTGGTGTGCAGAATTTTGGATAACCACATATTTACAGACTTGAACTCGTGAATTCAATTACATCATCCCTTAAATTGGCTTTCGCTAGTCAATTATTTCTCAATTTTGTTGCCTTTTGATCTTCCCAATGCCCCTTGACCTCTAGACATCCTGATTTTCTAGTTATGTTGCCTGCTTTCTGAATCTTTCAGCATTATGCAAATTTGCTTGGGTCAGCATTATCAATTCTCATCAAAATGTTCACCTCAAAGTCTCAGTTTTTCTAAAGAAACCAGATTAAAATTCTTAACCTTTTTGTTTAATTTAGTTGCTCATACCAAAAATCATTTTTATTTGCTCATTTCTCTGCTTTCTCAAGAACAAACATATCCTTCCTTTTAATTAGGTGATCAGATTTAGATGCAGTAAATAAAAGCTTAAAGTTCAGCTACTTCAAATGGAATATTGCACAGCACTTCATGGATGGCCTAGCAAGGAAAATGCATTATCCTGAATATCATTAAACCATAGATAACAAAAGTCATTAGATTTGAGCTTTTTCGTCCCTTTTGAACTTGCCAGTCTCAAGCAGAGCAGGTAGATAGTGAATGATATAATTAAATAAAGGGTGACTTAGTGATAGGATACTAGCCTCTGTGGAGCTTTTTCACCCAAGCTCTTTGACGTTCAACACTTCCCAACCTCTCAGTGTTAAAGAAATATTCTGTATTTCTGCTTTTCCTACCAACACTGATAATCTCATCAGCCATAGGGAAAATGCTGGAATCTGTAATAAAGGATGCAGTAACAGAACACTTAAAAAGCAAACTAGAAAATAATGGTAGATTGGACAAAGCCAACATGGATCTATGAAAATGAAATACTGCTAAACCAACATACATAGACCTTTTGAGGATATAACTAGCAAATTAGATGAGGGAGAACATGAAATTCCATCTGCCAAACGTTTGCCCTCTCATTTAGCATCTCCAAATTCCTCAACAAGTCTTTGCATCTTCTTCTCAATTCACACTTTACATCTAGTTTTGTGTTACCTAACCTCTAAAGTAGGACCATTTATCAAAAGATTCATGAAAATCCAAATATTCCACATCCTGTGTTCTCCCTTATCTATTTTGCTAGTTACATCCTCAACAAAAGCTCTATATATGTTGGCAAACAGGTCTGTAGTTCTTGGATTTCTATCTTTAATAGTGGGTGTTGTATTCTTAAATAACACTAAATGGAGGTGATTGCTCGTTCAAATGAGATAACAGGTTTATACTCTGAAGGAACAGCACTCAGAGACTGCATCCCCAAAGATTGCATAAGACTTCCTGATCATTGCCTCTTTCCCTAGCACTACTTTTGCCAGTAACCAGTCTTCGAGCACCATGAAGCCATACTCGTTTGCCTCTGTACACTCCCTGACCTATTGTCCTGGTTTTTCAAAGCCGCTTGCCACCACCCTGGTTACTACTGCTACCTTCGTACTAGCCCCCTTCTGAAGTGTGCTATTTATCTCTGTTGCGTAGTCAACTGTATTGTTGTAGTCATGTTCCTTGGGAATGCCCAACTCTGAGACCCTCTGTTGCTCCCCACTAGACCGTATCTTCAGCATCTTGAGGAATATGAGAATATCAACTACAATTATTCAACCCAGAGAAGTCACGATATTCAGTTTATTTCTTTTGATATACTCGTGGACCCCTTCCCCTTTTTGTTTGGGTCACCCTTATTGCATCCAACCAGTTGGACCATTGATTTCCCAGCTTGCATTTAACTAGCTACTTGAATGTTTGATATCTGGCCCAGAAATTTAGTCGCACTATGCTCGTCCATCTCCTGCTCATTTGGAAAGTGGCTCTTTTTCAAACAAAGGGATCTGGGTATCATACCGGGACTTACCTCATGAAGTCTGTGGATATCAATTATTTTCTCAAGCTTATCCTAAACTTTATTAACATGATTCTGCCTTGGTGTAAGCAATTCTTTAGATATCGTCTGCCACTGAGCTGGGGTGAATGGCACATGCTTAGCAGGCTCTGTATCACATTCCCCTAACCATCCCATCTCTGCATTTGAACTAGAGGGCTCATTCCCAGCCCATTCCTCCAATGGGTGCTGCCATGAGATGAGTCCAATATGTCTGGTGTTGTTAGGTTTCACTCATTGATACCTTGCACCCACATGTCCCTCTTGTCTAGATCTGTCCACTCCCCATCAGTCTGGTCTCCAGCCATAAACCCTGGCTAAGGAGCCCATTTGGCCCTGACCCTGGTCCTTTATTTGGTAAGTTTCTGTATCTATGCTCTAAATTCTAAGCAGCTACTAACCATAATCACCAGGTATATTAGCCAAGGCTTAGAGTTTACGAGCAGGGAGGTTATGTTGGAACTGTATAAAATGTTGGTTAGGCCACAGCAAGAGTATTGTGTGCTGTTCTGAAATCCACAATGTAGGAGGGATGTGATTGCATTAGAGATGGAGTAGAGGAGATTTACCAGGATATTGCATGGACTAGACAGTTCTGATTATGATAAGAGATTGGATAGACTGGGGTTGATTTCCTTGGAGCAGAGGAGACTGAGTGGGCACATAATTGAAGTGTATAAAATTATGAGGATCATGGATAGGTTTGATAGGAAGGAAATTTTTCCCCTTTTGAATGCTCAATGACTGGGGTGCATAAATTTAAGTTAATTTAGTTTATTGTCACATGTATCTGAGTACAGTGGGAAGTTTTGTTTTGCGAGCAGTACAGACAGATAATAATATACAAGGACACGGATCATAGATGTTTGGACCAAGTGAGCCATACAAGGTTATGGCTGCATTGGAGGTGCATAAAAGCAAGATCAACATTAGATTTGAAATTGGATAAGTCCGTTAAGGAGTCTATTAACAGCAGGGAAGAAGCTGTTCTTGAACCTGTTGGTACGCGTGTTCAAGCTTCTGTATCTTCTGTCTGAGACAATGTGAAGAAAAGAATTCTCACCCAGAGGGTGGTGGGAATCTAGAACTTACTGCCTGCAAGGGTGGTAGAGGCAGAAACCCTCAACATTTAAGAAGTATTTAGATGGGTACTTGTGATGCCAAAGCATTCAAGGCTATGGCCAAGTGCTGTAAAATGGAAGTCGAATAGTTAGGTGCTGTTTTTAACTGGCGCAGACGTGATGGGCTGAAGGGCTTCTTCCTGTCTGTAGATCTCTGACTCCATGACTTTTGCATCTCTCATGGATCGCTTGGGTTGCAGCACTGTTCTACCATTCCTAT